TACTTTATTTTAGTAATTTAGTAGCTTAACCATAGTGAGTACATTTTATTTCTTCACTTTATTCCTCAGTGAATTAACATGCTAATTTTCTTCCCTTCACATGTCTATTCTAAACTTTGACTTTTTAACCACAAACCCCAAAAGAAAAAAAAAAGACTTTTCTTGCAGTTTTTTTTTTTTTAAAGAGGCATGTTTCAGTCCTCATTGCTGTCCTTTGTTTTACAGGTATGAGTTTGCTAGTTCAGACAACTAAGACAATCTGTAGGCTGCCTTGAGATCTTACTCATACGCTGCACTTTTTAAAAATATGTTGAGATAAGATAGTGTATGACTAAGAAAGGTGAAGTGTTAAGGTGTAGTTTATTGTAGATTATTTAACATTCAACTCTTGGAGAAGGGGAGCAAAGCAGTTCAAAATGCCTCTTACAGCACCCCCACCCCACCCTGACACACACACACACACACACACACACACACCCTTCTCCGTTGTATTTTTTTTCCAGAGAGGAAAGAAGAGAGAGGGAGGGATAGAAACATCAATTATGAGAAAGAATCATTGATTGGCTGTCTCCTGCATGCCCCACACTGGGAATCAGGCCTGCAACCGGGGCATGTGCCCTGACTGGAAATCAAACCATAACCTCCTGGTTCATAGGTCAATGCTCAACCACTGAGCCAGGCCACCTGGGCTCTTTGTCTTCTTTTTAACCAAAATTAATGAGAATAGAAAGGGGATGGAGGGAGCTTTTGGGGGCTTCTTTGTGAAGGTGAAGTACACAACTTCTGTCCCCCCCCCCCCACTTATTGCCTCTAACAAGAGTAGAGACTAATTATCATAGTTATCAGGTGACCTAGAATCAAAGACCTCAGACACAAATCCTCTGCTTTTACATATGCGAAAATTGAGGCGTGAAGAATTTGAGTAATTTGGCCAGTTAAAAAAAAATAATACATACTCTACCCAGCAAAGCTATTATTTAGAACTGAAGGGCATGTCCAGAGCTTTCCAGACAAGAAATGCGAAAGGAATTTGTCACCACAAACCAGTATTACATGACATGTAAAAGGGTCTTCTTTAAAAAGAGAAAAAGGGAAAGGAGAAAAGGTCAATGCCCTGGCTGGTTTTGCAACTTCTGTAGAGCATCGGCCTGTGGACTGAAGGGTCCTGGGTTTGATTCCGGTCAAGTGCACATGCCTAGGTTGTGGGCTCGATCCCCAGTAGGGGGCGTGCAGGAGACAGCTGATCAAGGATTCTCTCTCATCACTGATGTTTCTATCTCTCTCCCTCTCTTTTCCTCTCTGAAATCAATAAAAATATATATTTTTTAAAAAAGGTCAAAAACATGAACAGCCTGGCCAGTGAGGCTCAGTGGTTGAGTGTCAGCCTATGAACCAGGAGGTTGTAGTTTGATTCCCGGTCAGGGTATATGCATGGGTTTCGGGCTCAATCCCCAGTAGGGGGCACGCAGGAGGCAGCGGATCAATGATTCTTTCTCAACATTGATGTTTCTATCTCTCTCTCCTCTCTTCCTCTCTGACATCAATTAATATTTGACAAAGAAGGCAAGAGCATACAATGAAATAAGGACAGTTTCTTCAATAAATGGTGTTTGGAAAGTTGGACAGGTACATACAAAAAAGTGAAACTAGACCACGAACTTACACCATACACAAGATTAAACTCAAAATGGATAAAAGACTTAAATGTAAGTCGTGAAACCATAAACAACCCAGAAGAAAACATAGGCAGTAAAATCTCAGACATCTCTCATAGCAATATGTTTGCTGATATAGCTCCTCGAGCAAGGTTAACAAGGGAAAACAAACAAACAAAGGAGACTACATCAAACTTAAAAGCTTTTGCACAGCAAAAGAAACCATTAACAAATTGAAAAGGACAACCACTGAATGGGAAGGATGTTTGCCAATGATACATCTGATAAGGGATTAATTTCCAAAATATACGGTATATAGAACTTAACAACTCAACACCAGAAAGACAAACAACCAAATTAAAAATTGGGCAAAGGACCTGAATAAATACTAATACTTCTCTAAAAGGACATACAGATGGCCAATAGACAGAAAAAAAAACACCACATTTAATGTCACTAATCATCAAGTTAAAACCACAATGAGGCATCACCTCGTACCTGTCAGATTGGCTATCATCAACAAATGACAAGTGCTGGCCAGGAAGTGGAGAAAAGGGAACCCTGGTGCACTGTTGGTGGGAATGCAGACTGGTGCAGCCACCGTGGAAAAACAGTCTGACATTTCCTCAAAAAATTAAAAATGGAACTGCCTTTGACCCAGAGATCCCACTTCTTGGAATATATATAGCCTAAGAAACACGAAACATTAATTTGAAAGAATATATGCACACCTATATTCATTGCAGCATTATTACAATAGCCAAGATCTGAAAACAGCACAAGTGCCAATTAGTAGATAAGTGGATTAAAAAGCAGTGGTACATTTACACAATGGAATACTAGCTGGCCATAAAAAAGAAGAAACTCTTACCTTTTGCGACAGCATAGGTGGACCTGGAGATTATTATGCCAAGTGAAATAATACAGTCAGAGAAAGACAAATACCATATGGTCTCACTTATATGTGGAATCTAATGACCAAAATAAACCAATGAAAAAAAGTAGAAACAGAGGCATGGATACATGGAACAGACTGACAGCTGTCAGAGGGGAGGTGGGTGGGAGGCCAGATGAAAGAAAGTGAAGGGATTAAGCAAAAAACCACACATAACTATATACCTATACCTATAGCTATAAATACATATAACACAAGACCAGTGCTCTAACCCCTGAGCTATGAAGCCTCAGCTAAATAGATATAGCACATAGACACAGACAACAATGGGGTGATAGCCAGAGGGAAAAGGTGGGGAAAATGGGGGTGATGGGCACACGATGCAGTGTGCAGATGATGTTTTATTGACTTGTACACTTGAAACCTGTATGGTTTTGCGAACCAATGTTATCCCAATAAATTCAATTTTTTAAAAAAAGAACATTTTGATGGTTGCCATATGGGAGAAGGGTTGGGTGAAAAAAGTGAAGGGATGAAGAAGTACCTACAAATTGGTTGTTATAGAATAGTCATGGGTTTGTAAAGTATAGCATAGGGAATATAATAAATGATATCCCAATAACTAAGTATGGTGCCATATGGTATGAGATTTATGGGGATGATCACTTAGTATGTGATATAATGTATGATCACTGGTGTACACCTGAAACTAATATAATATTGTATGTGAACTGTAATCAAAAAAATTTTAAATGATTTAAAAAAAAATAACACATAGGACAAGAACTCTGATATCAAGTTACCTATTGATTCATTTACATTCTAGTTTTCAACAAAATATCCCACAATAGAGGGTTGCTTATACAGCGTGAGATTTGCATAGCACAGGACACTGTTGTTCAAGGTGTACAGGTAAGAAGACTGGGAAAGCGGAGAGAACATTTTATCAGCTGTTACATCAGCTTGGAACAATGGAAGTTACAGCTGGAAAGGACAGCTAGGAGTACAAGGAGTATCTAAGGTGTTTGGACTCCTGCTCGAACAGCTTTCGTGCCACTCATGATTTTCAAACATGGGAGTAACTTGATCGAAATTATTGATTAGGGCAAGACTGGCCTGAAAGTGGAGGAAGAAGGAGAGGTCAGAGCCTGAGGTTCAACGATGGCTATAAGGCCACTGCCTAGGTAAGGGCAGCCACGGGCGTGGGGAAGAGGTTTGACCGGAAGATGCGGAGTCCCCAGGTCCCTGCAGGCGCAGGGGGTCTTTGAGGACAGGACGTGGGGCTTGCGGTGCAGTGTGTGCGAAGCGTCGGGGACGGGCACCGGGCACTCAATATCGTATTTACATTACGGTTCTGTGAAGGAAAACACAACTCAAAACTCCGCGGGGAAACCTCCGCAGTGGAGGGTCCGGCCCAGCTCCCGCAGCCCGCACG